GTATTTGTTAATTAGCAGATTAGCCAGCCAAATGAAATTCTACACAGGCCGGCAAAATTTGTTTCTGGCTCACATTTTGTGGATTGGGCGTATAGAAATGTCTCTCTTGGGGTACACTGACTTTAACAGGGTATTGGCTAGTTACACTTATTTGGCACATAATTGTAGAAAATAATGCGTTCTTCTGAATGGAAGAGGCATTTGTGCTCATCTAAGCAGAATGCAACCGTGGCTAATTTCCCCACAGAATGAACAGAAATTATTCTGAGACCCACCAGGCTGAACAAAGTAAACAAACATAGTTCCTAAAATCCATGAGTACTTATTGGAGGAACATCAACTTTGCAATAAATATGCGCTAAAATGTAGGTGCTGGTTAGTACAAACAAAGCTCTTATCCCATTGTGTCCACTTGATCTAAAATGAAAATGCAGAGTTTGGTTAAAATATCTATTTTCATCACTAATGCCATTCAACGGAGCTTTAGCATTAATTCATTCCCAGCTAATTTCCTTTTCCTCCTTGTTTCCCACCTCTCACAATTTGGTGATTTGTTGCTTTGATTAGTTTTTGCCAATGATTCATTGTCACACAATAACAGAATATATAGATTCGGAATTGGCTGTTGTGCAAATTTATATATATTCCCCTGCTATTAATAACTGACCTGTAAGAAAGCTTGAAATAACTTAGTAACTAAAATGCATGTACGAAGTACCATGTACGATGCAGCGCACTCAGTAAAACCCGCCTTCATCAAAGTTGTAATACTTTTCACCAGCAGATAAATTTCAATTATTTGATACCATCTCTCACCAGAAGGACAGAATAGAAGCCCGGCTGCGTCTCCCACTGCCGGAGCTGCTCCTCCGCGGGCTTCAGCACAGCGGTGTCCTGACTGGTAGCTTGGGTTAAGGCCTGCAGCACCACTGAACTTGCACCATCCATGTCCATAGCTGGAGATACCTGCAGGGGAACACCAGAGGACAGGGACGACACACAAAGAGAACCATTTTATTGCTCTAGTTGTGAGGGAACTTCTTTTTTCACCATAGAGGAAAACAGCGCAATAAAACATTTTTCAAACAATAAGTCAAATTTTATATTTTGCTTTGTCTGCCGTTATCCCTTTTGAATCTATTTTTAGCATCCATCAAACGGCGCTGAAATCACTATCAAAAATGGAGAGGAACGAATCCTTTGGAATACAGAGAGAAACACTGGCAGTCATTTCTACCACACAAGGAACTATTTCCAAGAAAGTTTCCGTTTCAAAAGGAAGTACCTGATTAAGCGGTCTCTGTGCCTCAAAAAGAGCATTTTCAGATAGGATGATACACCGTAGAGCTCGGGATCATCATATCTTCCTTATGAACCTCAAATCGCAACATCGCCAGAGGAGTTTGTCAATAATAGTTGAGAAGAAATATGTGCTTGTTTACTTTCCTACTTCTGTTTTTCTTCAGCTTTGATTATATCAAAGAATACCCTTGTTGGACACATTCCAAAACTTAAGATTTTTTTTTTTTAAATCTGATATAAAATCAAAAAACACGTCAAGATATTTATATCAGGGGCTATATGAGGCCCAATATTCCAGACACAGAAAAAAAAAAAAAAAAACTTCTATTCTTGGTAAGCACTGATAACAGACTGTGGAGATACGGACAGCTGTGAGACCAGTAGAGGTAGTGAGGTCAAAGACACCCTTCAGTGGGAAGTTTCAATCAGAGTGGGGAGAATGCTGGACAAGGGTGCCATCTGCAGCCCAGAGACAATTATCCAGCCCTGTGATTCACAGCATGCTGTAATTGTATATAAATTAGGGCTGACGCAGTGTTTTGGCAAAACCCATGTGCACGGTCTGTTAGTTCTAAAACAGTTGCTGAGTTATTAATTGAGTTAACAGATATATTGTAAGACTCTGCTGTAAAGGCAAACGTAGCAAGAGTAGCACCAGTCGACCGACAATGAAGGCCATTTGTGTCTCTGGCATTTGGTTCATTTTCCACATAAAACAACAAGAGACAGAAATCCAACTGCCAACCATAATGCAGGAATAATTAGATGTATTGCGCATGTTATGTTAATAGGTTAGGCTATCACGGTTATATTATTGCACTTGTACATGTCACATCCTTGTTTTAGAAAGTCAGATACACTGCAATGCTCTGTGTTCTTCCTCCACAGCAACTGTCGACAGTTTCTGCGGATAACCCCATTCTCAGCAGTGTTTTTTCACGCACAATGCTTCTCACTGCAAGCAATGAGCAAAGCAGATACAAGGGGTTACGTACACACACACACACGTCAGTCTGACTGGCTGCGGTAGGTTCAAAACATTGGCAAAATAAGCAGTTCATCTTTATTTCTAAATCCTCACTTTAAGCCAAAGAAGGAAATTACAAAGATAAAAAAAGATACATCACTCTGTGCAAAAAACATTTACGGGATCTGCATATGGAAGAGGAGGCGGGTCAATGCCAGTACATGCCGCTCAGATCTGTTTATGACCCTCTGCCACTTTTCAATCTCGCGGTCAGAAGACCTTTAAAAAAGGACAGGCGGTCAGTGTAGGGAAACTCAAGTCAACTGCAGCAGCCTGCAGTGCACAGAATTCATATGTATTATGGGACTGTCCGTTTTACAGTCATGTCCAACCATCGTTGACGAGGATACAAATGCTTGAACAACATCCAGTTACAGCAGCAATGCGGTCAGATGTGCACGGTGCTGCTTCTCTTGCCCTAGATCCGAAACATCATCGACCTCTTTACCTCACTGATGCGTTGACATTCATGGAGGGGCAAGCAAAGGTGTTACTAATTACATTAATGCAATACATTCTGAGAGTCCCAATAAGCCAGGACAGTCCAAGTGTGAGGCAACATGCATAATATCTAGAACCTTTAACAAAAACTGCCACATATACAAATGTCTTATTGTGTGTGAGTGTCTTATAATCAAAGCAGTTTTGACAAGGTGTGAAATCGATGCACTCTCACGAATATGCCGGAAGTTTGCATTATGAAACTTTACTTTAACTCTTTAGCTACTAGACTGTTTACGCAGTCACTGTAACAGGTAAGTTAGCATGCTATCAGGCAAGCAGCACTTCAGTTGTGTTGTCTTTGTAGTCTTATGCTTCCGCAACGGTGTGAACGAACCTGCCACGGCAGCACTATGTGTTGTCCTGTCCAACGTTAGACGGGTTAATGGCTGATGTTTCGCCTTTTTAATGGTCTTTGTCGCCAACGAAACGTTAGTTGCCTACTGTTTATCGAGTGGTCACATAAGCTAGCTACAGCTAACGCTGTATGCGTCCAGTGGCATGACGTTAACTAACTTGGATGCACAGAATTGTTATGATACAAATTTCAAATTCATGACACCATCACGTGGGAAAGAATCTCGAGTATGAATTGGGTTTAGTTGACGTCAGTTGTTTTAAAAGGTCACGGAGAACAATAACAAGCTCAGTGCGTCGGTAAGGGGCCAGGAGAGAGTGGCAACTTTTACTAACTCAACTGTTCCAATAACTTGACGTTTACATGATTTGGATTTGCCATTGACGTTAGACTCAAACACATGCAATGTAGCCCCAGTTGCTTGAGTGGCCCTCTCATCATGTCATGTTCAATGGAAACAAAACAACCAAACCTTCACCAGTGAAAGGGTCCGCACTGACAGTTTACACATCGTGCATACCCTAAACACCAAAGCTAACTTTGGACAAGCTAGCGAGCTAAACTTCAATTCAATGTGAAAACAAGCGCCAACCTCGTCCGTGCTATCAAATCACGTCTTTCCTGAAAATCTAAAAAATAGAAACGGACTCACCTAAAGAACGTCGGTAGAAAACAGAATAAGTTGTGTAGCAGTTGCTGCTAAAGCTCATCCAATGGCAATGAAACGGGATGAAAACACACGCTTGTAGGAATGGCGCGAGCGACACAGCAGGCGCACGCTGATGACGTAGGGGAGGCGTCCCTGGTCACGAATGAAGAGAGCCAAGACTGCTCTTGAGTGCTGCAGAGGAACATGTGAAGTATTGTTGTTCATCCTGTAAGACAAGGTATTTTTATTTGTATAGCACATTTCAACAACAAGGAATGTCAAACTGCTCAACATACAACCATGAAAAACATCCAAGCATATGCATGTGCAATTTATGTGCAACTTAACATCCAAAACCCAATGATTTTCAGTCCCAATTATATAAAACAGCAAAAAATGGTCAGAACCAATGGGAGTTGGCATTTTTGTTAGACGTATATAATGAGAACATCCTGATATGTTTTTGATCCAGGTCCATTCAGCCGCTTGAATACCTGACAAGTCAAAGCAAGAAAAATCTCAGGAGACGCACAGCAACAAGGAGTTGTGTAAAACTAGAAGTTCTGTTTCTTTTACCAACTATACACTTACTTTGGCTCTCCACATACATACCTAAATCTTCTTAAACTTTCACCCTATGACATTGATTACAAAAAGTACATTTAATTTTAATTAATTAATTTAATTGTCATTATTTTATTATGAATGTGTGCTCAATCTGAACTCAGCAGTCAATTTGTATGACACATTTCTTCTGTCATGTAAAGACAAGGAGTGTTTTATTTGTATATATATATATATATATATATATATATATATATATATATATATATATATATATATATATATTGATGTGATACATTTTTGTTTGTATGAAATCAGACAACACCAGTTAAAATCACAGAGCCCTGCCCACAGGAACTTTAATGTGTTCTGGACATTTACAACACTTATCCACATACAACAGTGTGTGTTATATCCACAACAGTACACAACACTTATGTCAGTGTAAAATACATTCCCTTCCTAGATCATTTTTCATTTGTTGACGAATGTTTTATGTGTATTTTGGCCAGTAACTTACAGGTTGAGTGACTGTGGGTGTTTAGGGGGGGTCTTAAAATGGGAGTGTCCTAGCCAGAGTTGTTCTCTCTTCTCTTTCCGTCCTGCTTTAGTTTCACTGAATCACTGAACTAAAAAGACTCTGTCAGAGAATACACAAACACAGAGGGTCTGAAAGGCAGACTTTGTTTCCAGACAAGCATGGATTTAATGGAATTGTTCTTCATTACTCTTGGGTTTGCGGTCATTGTCTGCTACGGAGTGAGACTGCTGCTTTTCAGCAAGATGCTTTTTCCAAAAATTTGGTTTCCACTTCCAAAGTACTTTTTCACCTCCATGGGAGCGTGGGCAGGTGAGCTGTATGAGCGTGTATGTGTGTGGGGGGTGCACGTGTTGTAATGTAATGTCATACATACAGTATTGCCACATTGTGTATAATGAATGCTGGGACAGAAATGGACGGGTCAGATGGAGTCAGGTAGATCTAATGTCAGCACATTCATAACTAACTACCGAAAACATTTTGTGACAAGATACTACATGTAGGCCATGTATCTTTGCGCGATCTTCATGGTGGAATAAGGACATTAGTTCACTCTCAGAGTGGCATAAGAAATTGCCGTTTCTCCAGCTGGTGCAGAGAATCAAACTCGTAGGCATTCTTTCAACTTGAGGGAAATGTCCGTGCATTTTAATTACAACAACAAATTCCTCAGCAGCTCCCAAAGCTGTCTCATCGAATTACAATATTTGCTTTGGCAACTCTTGAATAGGTTATTCAGGCTCAGTGAGTGAATAAACCTAAAAAAAGAAAGAAAACACACTAGAACATTGGCCTCATCTTTCCTTCCACTGCAGAGAGGAAACAGCCATGGGAATAGTACGTCTTAGACACACCGGGTACAAACCGGGTCCCACTGCATCAACTTCTGACAATCTGAAACTACATTTATGTTTCTTTCCATTTAGTGATTTAGGTCAATTGAGGACATCTTATGGAATGAATGTTTACCATATTAATACATGTGGCCGTGTTTTTATGAACAGTGTGCATATTAAAGTAAAGTGTATTACACTTATATGTACAGTACCAGTCAAAAGTTTGGATACACCTTCTTCTTGACGGGGACTTTATATATTGTGATAGTAAATTAACAGAACTTGAGGGTATGTTTTTCTCCTGTGGGGACAATTGTCCCTTCTTGATTGACATTTTCTACAAAACCGGGAGCCGTAGAGGACTCGGTGCCCTGAGATGAATGGGGTGCGGCATCAGTATGCAGAGCGTTTCCCAGCCTACAGCGGGATTCTTTTTTAATCAATTGGGGCATACAGTGTGATTTGGGACTTTGGGACGGTGTCCTATTGATTAGCCAATACTAATCCTATTGAAGAATTAAAATATCATACAACCCAATGTTATTTGAATATGTTTCTTCCTGTAATAAAGAACACTAATTGGCAGTTAACTCCAGCTATTGCATGCTCCGCCTGGAGGAGATAATAATAATATTAATAATAATAAAGCTTTAGTCTTCTGACTATGTTACAAATTTGTAAGAAACAAAGACCGGGCACACATTTGTAGGGGACATTGAGTCTACACATCCAATTCAAGTTACTTGACACACTCAGATCGCTCCCATGTTTAAAGATCAAAACAATGGATCCCATCCCATCCAAAGTCATCTTGTCTTCGTTCATTTTAAAATGACAGTCCTGAAAAATCTGGCTTTGTTTGAAGGCAGTAGATGCCCATTACCTAATATTTGAAAATGAGCTAAGAAAATAACTTGTTATCCGTAATCGGGTCAAAGCAGATGGGAGAGTAGTAAACTCTCAGAAACCAGCTGGTCCTGTTTGCTCTGAGCAAATTCTTTATCAGAAGTGGGGAACATGTTGTAGTCATAGTGCAGTCTTTTAGAACATGACGGGCTTGGTTTTGTGTGAACAAATTGGAGCTGACGTCCACAGAGAGTTTATTGAACTGAAATGTACTGCTTTTTCAACCCAAAGGGTAAGTCAACGTTTGCAAACTCAGGTCACCAGGTTCACTCAGGAGTTTGGGTCACACTTGACACTTTTTATTATCTTGGGGCTTTGTTTTACTCACATTCCTGAGGAGATAAAGAGTTTATGGGTATAGTATTTTTCATGTCATATAAATTGGGTAATTTTAACTACTCTTCCTGCAGGTTGTATCTCACCCTCTCCCAGACCGACAGAAGGTGGGAAGGACGCCATATTTTTCCAAAATCGGATAGCGGCCAAAATAAGTGAAACTAGTGTTGGCTTACGATGAAGGCTGAATGCCATCATTCTTTTGTACAAACGTTGGGATTTATAAATCATAACTTAATAAGATAAAATTACCAAATATCTTCATCATTAATATCTCTTAAATCTGCTACCAGTAACAATGCTATACATACTCAAACAAACACACTCCTGGGATTTGTTAGACAGCAGAGGGAGAGAGTTGGGAGGCGCGGTTCTGATTCTGGTTCCTCTGTTGTCCAGAAAGGAAACTACAGGAGAATATGACAATTAATGGAAGTAATTGTTAGCAATACAGTGCATCCGGAAAGCACAGCGCTTCACTTTTACCACATTTTGTTATGTTACGGCCTTATTCCAAAATGGATTAAATTGATTATTTTCCTCAACATTCTACACACAACAACCCATAATGACAAAGTGAAAACTGTTTTTTGCAAATTTTTGCAAATCTGTTAAAAATAAAGAACGAAAACTTAACATGTACATAAGTATTCACAGCCTTTGCTCAATACTTTGTTGAAGCACCTTTGGCAGCAATTACAGCCTCAGGTCTTCTTGGGTATGATTCCACAAGCGTGGCACACCTATTTCTGGGCAGTTTCTCCTATTCTTCTTTGCAGAACCTCTCAAGTTCCATCAGGTTGGATGGGGAGCGTCGGTTCACAGCCATTTTCAGATCTCTCCAGAGATGTTCAATCGGGTTCAAGTCAGGGCTCTGGCTGGGCCGCTCAAGGACATTCACAGAGTTGTGCCGAAGCCACAAGTGAACACAGATAACAGATTTGCAAAAATTTGCAAAAAACAGTTTTCACTTTGTCATTATGGGTTGTTGTGTGTAGAATGTTGAGGAAATTAATGAATTGAATCCATTTTGGAATAAGGCTGTAACATAACAAAATGTGGAAAAAGTGAAGCGCTGTGAATACTTTCCGGATGCACTGTAATTCCTGCATCCCTCTTTCAGTGGTGACTGGTGCTTCAGAAGGAATAGGAAGAGCATATGCATTGGCGGTAAGTCATTGTGTTAATAGCACTACTTCTTATTGCATGTTTACATTTTTGTACTTGGATTTAAATTATAAGAGACCAAAAGTGAATACATTTTGTAAGACTGTAAACATTTATATTTTAGAAGGTTACATGTATTCTTTTTATTTGATGAATATTTGCTTCTTTTCTTTGCTTCCCTCAGCTGGCCGAGCAAGGAATGAACGTGGTCATCATGAGCAGAACGAAAGCAGCACTGGAGGATGTGGCAAAGGAAATAGGTGAGAACTCGCTTTCTGTAATAAATTTCTTTTTTATTGTGTCTGCTTTTAAAACTTGAACTACATCCACTGATGTGCTCGTGGTCATCTGTCATAAATCAAATGTCCTATTGTTGACCCTGATGCATTTATCCTATAGTTGCTACAACAGGGCAAAGAGTGAAAGTGATTGTAACAGACTTAATGGAGGACGTCTTCAGTGAAATTGAGGATCAGCTTTGCGGCCTAAACATTGGGATTTTAGGTTGGACCTTTAAAAGAATACATAACTCCATGAAATTATTGAAACATTAATTGCATCTTTTTTTTCCCTCCCTAAAACCAAATCTTCTTCTTTCCCCAACTCCAGTGAATAATGTGGGCATGCTGCCCAGCGTCATTCCCTCCAAGTTCCTTGAGTGTGCAGAGCTGGACCAGGTGAGCGGTGTCGGCAGTCTTAGATGGCCTGTGGTGCTTTATTATCAACAAACAAATGTTCTACTCACATTGAGTCTTTCTCACCAGCATGGATTCTGTGTGATTCCTTGTGCTCTAGCGAATCAATTGAATGCCTTTCCTTCCCCGTAAAACATTAGAATATTTTTAATATGACACATTCCTGTGACAAACTTTCCCCTCACTTAAACTTTTAAAGATATTCATTTCGTAATTTATATCGTAATTGCACATCCATCTCTTAACATTTATTTTTCCCTTAACTATTAATACTGACATCTTTTTCTAAATGTTTTATTCATGGTTTCAGACAATAACAAAGGTGATAAACTGCAATGTGAAATCTATGGCCAAGGTAAGTGTTTCTTACAAACCCCTCCCAAAAAAACAAGGTCACAATTTTCAAGACGTTTCTGCACACACAAAGTCTTAGTGACAGGTGGGAAGAACCAGAATGCTTTTTTTCAGGACATTTTGGTCTATTAGACCGTTAGTAAGCAAACCTGCTTGTGTAGCTTTGTCGATGTGAACGTCGCCTGATGGATGTCTGAGGACATCGAGTCGGATGCTTTGTTTCCCTCACACCCAAGTTAACTTTGTCAACCTTTGTCCCAAATCTGATTGTATGTTCTTTTTTTCTTCAGATGTGCAAAATAATCCTTCCAGGCATGGAGAACAGGTTTTCATGTTTTCTTTATGAAATATGTAATGAGGTCAGATTCTAACATGCTGACTAAAATGTTCCGTTTAGATACAGATGTAAGACCATGTCTTTCTGCCTGTACAGGGGAAAAGGGGTGATTGTAAATATTTCATCAGGAATTGCCTCCATTCCTTTCCCCCTCTACACTCTGTATGCTGCATCTAAGGTAAGCACAGCCTCGCCAGTACACCTCCATCTCTCCTCATTCACGCCGTATGACTCCTCCTTCCTTTAGGTGTTTGTGGAAAGATTTTCCCAAGGTCTCCAAGCTGAATACAGAGATAAAGGGATTATTATACAGGTACAATGCTTCCGTTTTAAGACTCCACCTCAAGGTGTTTATGCTGAATCGAATCATTTTGTCACAAAGTTCTGTTAATTCTTCCCGTGTTCTCAGACAGTAGCTCCATTTGGGGTTTCCACTCGAATGGCAGATTATCAAAAGACCAACACAGTGACTTTGTCCCCAGAAGACTTTGTCAAAAGCTCCCTGCAGTACCTCAGAGCGGGAGACAAAACGCACGGCAGTGTGTGTCACATATTTCTGGTAAGACGATCTGATCATGCCAAAAAAACAGTAACGTCAAAAAAGACACATGTGACCCTCTGATGATGTGTGTGTGTGCGCGTGTATATAGGGCTGGTTGCTGCAGTCTATTCCTGCCAAGATTCTCTATGCAGAGTGTGTGCTACACGGCCTACAAGACTACGTCAAGAAGCGAGCTCAGAAGACATCTGTGTCTGTGTCAAGTGCCTCTTCAGAACAGGGTAGAAATGGATGACCGGCAGGCAAATATTTCACACTTCAAATCCAATTATAAAATTATGGAACAGGTGTTGATGGGCCTTTGTGTTCTATTCTCATTTAAATATAGTGGTAGATGTTTTAACTCATGAAAATAAAATTATTATATAATTATTGATTATCAGGAACTGTACCTATTTTGTTTTGATATTCTATAATTCAACATCACGGAACACTTTTTTCCATTATGTAGTCGAGTGAGACAGCACACTAAACGAAGAGTTCAGCAAGAAACATACATTGTGCTCGACGAAACGAGAGCTGAACACAGTGAGCTTGTGAGAGTTGTCGTATCGAGCCTTATTGAACGTTTGTGCGTAAGACCACTTACACGTGTTCCTCATAAATCTAGAAGAACATAAGTGATGAGCAGAACTGAAGGAACTTTCCTGTTGTATTCACTACACACACACACACACACACACACACACACACACACACATACATCTGTAACCATCATTAGCCTCCTTCCTTCCCCTCAAAGATGAGGGAAACACTTGATTTGGATGAGTAAACCACCAGACCTCTTTGCTGAGGGGTCGGTCACCATTATGAGATCCACAAAACCATTTGTGGGCCACGAGAGGACTAATGAGCTTCTACCTGCTTCCTGAGAGATTCGGATTCACCCCAGAGCCGCAGGTTTTAATAGCTTACAGCATGATGTACAGTGTTTTTGACAATGCACAAACATCTGTGCAGAGGCAGACACACACACACACACACAGAAATACATCCATTTGAACCAGTACGTGCTACCGAGATGTCTTACTTAAAAGAGTCACTGATCATGAGGTGACCGGGCTGTTTAGACAGCTGTGATGAATGATCCTCCCCATGAAAGGGGAAAAGGAAAAGTTTTTTGAGAAAGAGAGAGAAAAGAGAGTGGGGAGGTCAGTGTGACCTTGAGTCAAGATGCCTAGCTGTCTTTTTGAAGGAGGCAAAGAATAACTTTTTATGAGAATAGTCTTTTTTTCCCCTTATTGAGACAAGCACAGCCATTTTACAACAATAATACCAAGAGGAGAATTCACTACAATACATTCAAAGAATTAAATTATACACCTTTTATGGGCAAAGGCAATTCAATTATTAAAGATAATCATATAAAAGCAATTATAGTGCCATATTGTGGGTTGTAAACAAGCATTTTTGATTTTATTGGAAAGGCCCACGGTAATTGAAATAGGCCTGATTTCATTTATCTCAATGAACATATTCTGATTTATCTTCCAACATCATGATGTTTATGCTAAATAAAGTTCTGTCTGTTTGAATACGGTTGGACTGCACAAGAAGACACTGTACTAACTGGCTTGCCAGCAGGACAGGGGTCGAGGTCAACTTTGCTTCGCTAAATGAATACATCACCAGTTCTTGATTTAAGGAGTTTCTGTATATTTAAATGGTCAAGTTTAACTTCACAATTTTAAACTTCAAAACAGCTTTTTAAAGTTGATATACAGCTAACAAACTGTCATCAGAACCAGATGGGCAATTTAGGTTACGTGATACAACGGTTTTCTAATGCTATCAGTATAGCCCCCTTTTCCTCCAAACGTCCTATTTATTTCTTATATATCCTTAATAAGAGGTTATGGCTAATTCATTCATTTAAAACATTTCAAATTCAGGTGCAAAGTATTCCCAGTGTAGTTCATCCTGTGACCCGTAATATGTAATAAAGCCGCTAGAGGGAACCAAATATCAAGTTCTGAAAAAGGTTTTATGGTAACAGAATTACTCGCTCTCTCACACACACACACACACACACACACACACACACACACACACACACACACACACACACACACACACACACACACACACACACACACACACGATTCAATTTAAACAGATGACAGATTATTTCTGATTGATATTATAAAGTTGTCAAACTGAGGCTGCTCATTGGTTCTCAGTGAAGAGACGGAATGATCAAACCTCACACATTGAAAATATTCCTATGGAGCAGATGGGATGTCTGTTGTTGATGATGTCGCACAACACTCTCAGGGGAAATACTACGTGTATTTCCCACTTGAAAGAAAGAATAAAATCCTGTATAACAAAAAGAAAAGTATTTTAGATTTTTTTTTTTTAATGAAAAAAACGCTGTGACTTTCAAGGACGTGTGTTAACTGCAATGTTCCCATGCTTGCACCTCTTTAAAAGCCACAGTGGAGCATGTTTGTCACCTGCTGAAATCCAAAGTTGTTTACTTTGTTTCTCAAGAGCGGGGACTTTCCTCCCCTGAGGGGATCTGCAATTAAATTGAGAAAACACTTTGAATAAAACTTTTTCAAAACCATCTTCAAAGCCTCCCAAACATCAAATGAGGCTACCGGAGTTGCCAAGTGAATATAACTGCACTTGTAATAGCACGTTATATGTAGCCAAAATAGTTCACAGCCATTACAGAGCATCAGTGTGAGTTAGCATCTCTCCTACACTGCAGGATAATGCTTTTACCATCAAGGGGATCATATTTCAGCTCAAATATTAAGTCAAACTAGCTTCAACATGTCTGACGTCCCGAGCAGATGAGGGATTCATCAAGAGGAGGGTCAAAGACAAGTCATCGCTTTGGTTGGGTGGTCAGGCCTCCGGGGACGGCCTGTGTCTTTGAGCGAGGGAGGAAAGGAAAAGGAGCGAGGTGCTCCCTTCGAGGATGCTCCCTGTGCGACTCCTCTCTCCTCCCTGGACGCTGCGTTGCTTGTTGTTTCAGTCAACAGAAGAGGATCCAAGACAAGCACGCAGCCGCCGCAGCCCACCCAGCAGCCAAGGTCAGGACCACTGACCTCCAAACACACATTTCCCAGGTCGGGGTTCAAGTTTAACAGTGGAACTCGTTTGTCCAACCCAACGGGGGAATTGTTGAATAAAGAAAGCCAATCCCCCCCCACCATACACGGACTAACGCTCAATTCCCAATAAAAAGATTTGAGTGAATTATCGGAGAGATATAAAACTCCCGTTGCTATTAACATTCACTCTGTATTTTAGAATCCATAATTCCCTCAGTGGCCTTCCCCCTGAATGTTTTCCATCCCCCATGTGCTCGTCAGTCTCACACACCACTATAACTATTCCAATATTTATCCCGACTGAAATATTTCTGTGACATAATTACCACCTCGTCTCTCCCGGAGCTCCGAGAGTTTTTAGGGGTAATTATTCATCGCGGGAGAAATAATACCCACCACTTCTCTCCCCATCCAGGACGGAGGTCTTTGAAACCCGAGATGATAATTCCGACCCTTCATCTCTTCCATGAGAGCAGACTGTGAGGGACGGGGCTGCCCTCCGCCGCCAACGGAGCGCCGGCAGGGCTGAAGGAAGAGGGACGGCGAAGCTAAGGGGAGAGAAAGGACTCATTTCACAGAGACGAATGGATCGAAAAGGAAAAAAAAAAAAAGGGCCAGTGCCTTCCCCGACTGCCCAGTGCTCACATATGGCTAGGCTTTGCTTGTATAGCCTCACTTCAAGGCGAAGGGCCCTGCAAAGATAAACAGCAGAGAGGCTGCAGCTGGAGCGGGGAGGCAGCCGCTTGCTTACCGAGACCTCTCTACACTAAACAATGGATCAAGTGACGCACGGGCCTTTGGCAGCGCAACAGAGACCCTGAGAAGCCTTTCTCCCGTACGTTTATATCTCTGCTCTCTCAATATTTACCCCATGGGGAAAAACACTGTTTTCCATTCCTTTTGTTCCCGAAAGGAGGAAAAGAGTAGGCCCCCCCGCCTCCGTTCCCCGTCCCTTCCTCCTTCAAGACGGGACAGGTTCAGCGAGGACAAGTGTCTTTTTGTGCACAAAAAAGTTGTACGTTCAACCACTACGCAGCCCGGTCTGAGGTTTCACCGCTTACTCGCCCCTTCAGCTTTGTTCAGGTGTTTGGAGTGAGCAGGTTCGACCGTATCGGCACAATTCACTGATATTCACACGCATGGTCTATTTGCAGCCGAGAGAGGGGAAGGGAACAAAATGAGGAATAGCCTTCCTGTTACCGGGGCTCTCACTTCATTCAAAACGTTGTGTGCGCGTGTGCATGTGTGTGTATGTGCGCGTGTGCATCTGGGTTATATCTCTTTTATGGATGGGCACAATGGGGAACGGAAGGTCTCGCGAGCGGGTGAATTAACCAAATTATAGCTGACTGTTCCCCGGGTAACTGGATTGGAATGAGGGGCAAATGGTGTGTAATTTCCTAATGAGGGGGGGGGGGTTCTTCGTTTTTAACATTTAGAGACCCCCTCGGCCTGTTACCGTAACAACAGGAGGAGTCTGGACCCCCCCGAAGTAGTTGTTTGCTTGCTGAGTCACCTAAACGTTGTTACATACGGCTGTTTCTCCTCTTCTCTTTCATAATAGTCGCTTAAACACAAGTTCTTATTGAAAGATGTATACATCTGCCACTATAACTATTTTATGTGTGGATTTTCTTTTTTTTAATGTGCCACACATTCCTAAAGTAATGCTAGGAAGTTGAGGTCAAGAGTAGCAAAATTGCGTTTGGAGAGTCAGATGTTTGATTACATATAACCGTCATCTCCAAGATCGGACTGAATAATAAGTAATGGTCACCCCTGATAATGTGACAACTGAGATATTATTTTTGGCTCTTTAGGGTCCACGACCTCACAGATGATTTCACCGTTTCTCATTTATCAGTCTAGATGATGTCATTGGTTCAGAAATGGAAGCTTGGAAAAAGAAGTGAAAATAAAACACTTCCCTTAAATGGAATCGCGCAGACCTCCCCCACCCTACCGGATGTGAACGACGTTAGTCGCCAATAGGCCCCGAGACTTTCCTCCCCCGGGGGTTGTGGTTGGCGTGCAGTAATGGGCCCTGGGTAAACCGAGCTCCACCACTTCTGAGGCTGTGGATGTCGGACCCCCGACGCATTCCATCTCCATAGCTGGTCACACCGCAATTTAACATCCCTTTAAACTAAAAGCCATCGTTGCAATAACGTGCAGAGCGCAGTAATCTGACCTGCTGTCCTAAAGCCTCATGGTTTGCTTCCTCAAACGAGCACAGTCAAAATCCAATTTAGTGTTGCTTTGCATTGACCTATTTATTCATTGATTTTGGTAAAAGTAGTTGAACAAGCAGCCACCATCACCTTGCTGAATTTGACATAAAAAAAACCTTAAATGTAGCTTAGCAATGGACTTCACACACTCGGGATACATGCTCCTTCAGTCTCAAAGGCCCCGAAAACTAATTTTCTGAAATTGTCTCTTTACTCTGAGTGACGGGGGTCCTGTGTGAACACGTACTTTTCTGCATGTTTGCGAGACTTCTCTACTTATTCTGGGCTCTGGGCCATAGTTCAAACCTGATGTGTCATACGTCAGCGCACCTACCACAATTTCTATACAGTTACATGAAAAGTTGATGACAGTTGCCGTGTTGTTTGGTTACCCTCAATCAAATCTGAATAATAGTTTTGGAATGTGGGTCCGATATGCAAACAGCCCACCGTAGAGCCCCAAGATGAATTTAGACAAAATCTTGTGATTAATCTCAAATTTTAGTTGAGATTTCACAATATCAACGCACTCAAAAATGTATTTTTCCCACCACTACATCTATTTCATGTATGGCTTCCATGTTTTATGCATTTCCACTGGTTTCTTAATCAGCGACAGACTGCTTACTGTATTAACACATTACACAGTGAATGTGTGCAAACCGGAGCCAAAGAGACCCGGAGGCCCAGGTCAGCGCGGGTCGACGCCCATTCACAGCTTTTTACAAATCAATTCAAACTAAGTGTCACACTCTGACTCCTGCAAATAAACCCACGTTGCCAGCGCCGCCCCCCTCTGCCGCTCGGCCCGACTGTCAAGTCTCTAACAGACTCGCAGACACCCAGGTTGCAGTGGCATGAAACATAAACAGACTTCGCACCCTGCCCTTGACACAAAGAGGAGACACTAATGGGAGAAGTGGAAAAACACGCCGCCCCTTTGGTGGTATTTCCGACTCCTTCGGGGGTTACGGCACGTTGCACCGCGCCACGAAATCAAATCCAATCATCAAGACTGACTTGACACGTCGTCACAGATCACTCAGGGTGGGAAAACGGCGGTTAGCATGAAGGATAAGAAAGCTTTGTTGGCCTCGAACAGCCTCCCAGTCAGTTGGCGAGCCTTTCTATTGTCAGCGAAAAACGCCATGCCTCTCGGCTAACCCACTTAGACCAGACTATGAGCACAGACAGACAGACTGCTTCACCCGCAACTGCAAACCTGAAACGGAAAGACAAAAGCACAGAGGAAAGGGTGTGGGCTTTGGAAGAAGAGAAAGGGCTTTTTTATTCCCCTCCGTCTGTGATTTGAACAGGTGTGACAGATGTGCGGCCTCGCTACCGAGTGTGTGAGAAGATGGTGGAGATGTACCACCCAGAAGGTCCACATTCCCTCACACACAATCACACACGTACACACACTATTTCCAGAGCTGCATGTCGGGGCATGTAGTCCCGTCTCTCGTCTGTTGATGGCCATCACAGCTTGCAGAGAGCGGCGCTCTTTGGGGTTCTACGAGGTCGGGCGCGGCAGTGAGGTTCAGCACGCACACGCACACACACACACACACACACACACAGGTTGAGCACAGCAATTGTTGGCTATTGTGCACATTTGGGGTTTAGATTTATTATTTTTGGCTCAAATTTCCTACTTTTTGTACTTGAGCAAATGCCTCTGTGCGTACATGATATAGTTGATATAGTTCTCTTGCAGGGGTTGTGTAGGTCAGGATTATTCATTCATGAAATAAAGTTTTGATGCCGAACAACTATAACAATAACTTGAATAAAATATACAAAGTTCTGTTTATTTGAGTAACAGTCAGCATTATCTCAGCGCCTCACTGATGAACACCGAATGATTTAAAATTATGACGGTAAATAAGAAAAGAAAGACATTTAAAAAGAATAATTATAACAAGCAGAAAAAACTGCTTTAAATATTATCTCCTGAAAAAGTAAAAAGTAGAGAGGTGGAAACCTTCACACTGTAATTGTTGCATTATTTCTTCCACAGGAACTTTTCATTAGTCTTCCAGAGACTCTTGCTCTCACGTTCCCCGGACCCACCTCGAGCTGCAAAGTTAGTGTTGACACAAACCCTCTGCACCTCCGCCGGGTCCGTTAACCTGTTGATGCTCTCCTCGTTGCCCTCATTCAAGATGTCCCAGAAGTCTTTGCGACTGCCCTTCGGCACCACGTGGCGTGCGGGTGCTTGGTTTGGAGAGCCCGCGGACGCAGAAGGTGCGGCGGGCGCTTTAGGGGTGCCCCTCTGTTGTGCACCCTTGTGTTTGGGCTTTAACAGCTCGTCGAGGATGGAGGTGTCTCCTATCAGGTCCGTGAGGAGGGAACGACGACTGGAGGGGGAACCGGCCCGTTCCCGGTGGGTCTCTCTCTGGCCCTGAAAAGGTTCTCTCTCCCGTCCCTGTGCTGTGGGTTTGGATAACGCGCTGGACCCGCCATGGCTGAGGTCCGGAGAAGAAGGGATACGTCTGTCTGTGCACATCTGGAAAGCCGTGGCCTCCACAGACCCCGGACCACTGCTGCTGGCCTCATCCAAGCCAAGACCACCACCCGCTCCGAAGGCTCCAGAACTAGAAACACTACCCCTCCTTGTCCTCTTGTGTCCTCTGGCACTGCAGGCCGTCTCCTCCTGCTCCTCCGCCTCAAGCCTTGAAACATCACTTAAAGGTTCTAGCACATTCTTTTCTGGGAAATTAGGCTTTTTCTTGGTTGATCGGACGTCATTGTGTGGGTTTATCTGCTTTGTCTTCACATCATATTGTCTCTGTGGCGCACAGACATTGCGTGAGGCTTCAGGCTTCGTTTTAGGTTCCGGATTCTTGTCGGTATGTTTAAGCTTTCTCTTGGCTTTTGGAACATCCTTTTGTGAGGTTTCGGGTATGCGTGTGGGATTTTGAGGTGGCTTTCAAGGATGTGGAGGAGGCAACAGTTGAAGAGGAGCTCTGTGCTGAATCAGGTTGTGGGAAGTTGTTTGAGACGGTGCTGGCCAGGTCAGGGAGGTCCAGCGAAGCGTAATACTCTCGTAGCCAAGACAGTCTCTGGGTTGAGTTTCCTCTCACAATCTCCACGGCAAACTGATGGACTGAGGGGAAGTTGAATTTCTCTGCCATTTCTTCAAGCTGCAGCCTGCGGTACACATAAGTGAAAACGAGGACAGTGAGTGTGAGAAACCATCCATGCAACATGTGTTTTTTTACAATTAATATCACAGGCTCATATTCTGTGAATTTAACACGAGCACAGTTAGTACGAGGTCTAAATCTGGCGCATGTGAGCACAGAGTAAGGTACAACGCACAAGGCCTGCACTGTTAATCAGACATTTTGCAGGTCATTCAGGCGTGGCTTAAGATGAACATTTCTCCCCAGACATCTGCCGCATATTCAAAGCAGCGTGAGGCGTTTTTTCATTAAAACTCTTGTCTGACCAGAATTGGGGACAGAAATACTTTTAAAGTCTCTGGTGATGCAGCATGTGGTGGTGACGCCACATTATCAGTTGTGGCTTTGTCTGGAAAGAACAATAAATAAAAGAAGCAGCAGTAAAACACAAAATGATGTGGATTTAAATCATTACACAGGAAGGTTAATTGAGGGGATAGAATATAACTACTGTGTGTTTTCCACTCCCCGGTGAGCCTCCGGGCAGAGATACAGGGGGTGGGGCGCAGGACAGCAGGAGGTGCTTGGTTGAGTACTGTGTGTCTGCACGCGTGCGTAAATGCATGCTGGGACGTGTGTGTGTACATCGGTGTGGGATGTGGAAAGACCTCGGGCGATCGTTTTCGGATCGTCTGGGGAGGGCTGTGGTTGTGGAGGGGAAAACTCTCGCACTGTTGGGCCTGAACATTACTGGGTAATCTTTGGCGTGGTGCTGCGAAATAGGTGGGTAGGAGGGAAAGCTCAGAGGTGGTCCCTGGTTAGACACACACACACACACACACACCATTTCACTACGCCGACAAGAATTCCTGCCTTCCGACCTCACTCACTTACAGCCTCTTTCCTCCGTTTATCCACTTGCCTGATTTCTTTTCACCCACCCCGTGTCTTAATTTACTTTTCCTTCAAAGCCGCTCAGCTTTCCCACTGCCTCTGTTCTTTCCTCATCCGACCTCCTCTGACACTCGTTCAGTACCTGCGTATGGCCTTGGGAGTCTCTCCGATGATGAAGGTGGTGTGTCTGGTGTGGTGCACACTCTTGCTGATGAAGGTGACGGGATGGTCCACAGTGGGCTTCAGCGGTCTGACAGCAAGGGGGCCCGGCTGACTGTGTGGTGGGCTCAGGGACGAGCTCTGGTACAATCAAACGAGGCGTTTTCATCGTGCCGAATAATTGTGCTTTTGAAAATCAAACCCCTCTCTATTGCTCCACAGTTAGCTGGGATGTGCAGGCTTATGGGGACATGATAGTGGATGGTTGCACCACAGATTAAAAATGAACCAGCACTCATGCCGTATGTGTTCAAATCCACTAAATCAATATGTGTGTTGATGTATTCAATCTGATACATTACTGGCAAGCCTTATTCTGCATGCCAATATGCAACTGCCAGACATGCTTTTCTTAGAAAAGAAGCCTACATGGCAGTTTACTGCAAAGTCTGTGGAGCACAGAGTAATCCTGCCATGCTTTCCAAAAAAACATATTCCCGCTTTTCGGATGTAATTCAATTCATCTCAATCTAATCTAATTTGAGATGGCAAGATGCAATTTCCTATGATTGGAGAATCCCTGACCCAGACTGACAGAACGTCTTGACGTTTTGTACCTCTTGGGTGCCAAGGAGGCGATTGGCCGGGAGCTGAGAGTACATCCTGCGCTCGAACACGTCTCGTACGGCAGCCCTGCTGATCCTCTCCTCCGCTTTGCTCCCGCCCACCACGCGCTGGTTAGAGTGGGTGTACGCCACCTCGTGTACTCCCCCTGTGAAACAGAAACGGACATCAATGATGATCCGATCCGTTCCGAAATGCAGGAGCAGATCAAATAAATATAAATTGATAAAATGACTTCTCGCCTAGCACACTGTCGATAGTTCCATTCCTCCCTTTGGACGCTGGCGACGCCTGACTTTTTAGATGTGTGAACGAAACCGCTTTGTGCGTCCCTGCTTCTCTCTCCGTCCTGTTGGATGTCGGGTCTCTTCGCTCGTCTTTTGTCGACTCAACTCTGGAACCGTCTGTCAGCGGAGATGCGAAGCGACCTCGCGCAGATCTCCCTTTCTTAACAGGTGTGTGCTCGTCTTCGGAAGACGAGTATGTCTCTATGTCTTCTGTGAATTTGGACCTGACGTCGTCCCTTACGTTAGCAGTCTGCCTCTTTCTGTTGCGCTCCAGCCCGTCTCTCCCACCGTAACCCACAGTACCATTTGAATTGAAAGCATCCGTCTTGGGCCACGTCTTTGCCTCCATGTCCAGGTCCTCAGATTCATCTGAGTGGCCATCAAAACGGCGCACTCTTGGAACGCGAGTTTTCAGCTTTTTAGGTTTCTTTCTATCAGATGGGGAATTTTCATCACTTTCCTCAGGCACTCTTGTTTTCTTATTGGTCCACCCGTTCGGGGCCGGTCCCTTTCTAACAGCATCATCATCACTTTGTTTCAACAGAGGATTCCTCGCTTGTCTCCCCTTATCTCCATTCTCCCCGTCTTCTCCGTCTGAACCACTAGAGTTCTCCCACCTTTTCAATCCCAGTTTATGAGGAGCGATTGCACCATTTCTAGCGTTGGAGTCCTGACAAATGCCAGACGAGGTACTCTCCATCTTTGGATCCTCAGAATCTTCTTCAGAGGGGCTTTCATCAACATCCGGACTACTGTCGCCTTCTGCTAACTCTGGTTTTCCTTTGACCCTTTGGAGAAGCCTGGAGAAACCGTGCTGGAGGAGACTCATGCGACCGGGACCGGTGGCAGAATTCCCACCCCTGTTGCCATCGATTACACCGGGGCTTGTTGCCTTCCTCTTGAGACCCTGCTCGTCCTCATCCTCTTCACTTCCACTGCTGAAGTCCAAAACCCCTCTGGGGCCCTTGGACACACCTCTCTTCTCCTCTGCTTGCTCATTGTTAACTGCAGGGCAGCCTTTGGACACAGAGTCTCCAGGTTCCTTAAATAAAAGAGCAAAACAAGCAGCTAAAGTAAAGTAGCGACAGATGGGCGTAGAAAGCGGCACAAATGTGAGAATTGTGTGAGGACCAGGAATGTATCCAAGTTCATTTTAATTAACTGTATGAAAATGATTTTGCCACACACAACAGCACATGTGGGTTAAAGATTCCCTTGTTGGTGCCATCTTTCAGAGGGCCAGCCATGTCGCTGACACGAAACAGATGTTCACAACAACAATAAATCATAATAGATCATAATAGATAAATCAACGAGACAGGTCCCGCCCAGCACGGAGTAGCGAGAACCAAACATAGGGGTCCTAACATTTCCTGGAGTTATAAGAATGGGCCTTTATGGGAACGACCACCAACTGTGACTCTTATTTCACAAAAAAATGTGCCAACTGGATGACTCTTCCCCCATTTTGGCTGTGCTGGTGTGTGTGTTGGTGCTTACACGCCTCAAGGCTTTCTCTGTGCGTGTTAAGGCACCCCAGTGGATTCTGTATTTTTGAAAGAATCCGAAAGGCCTCAGTGGAGCAGCAGCCCAGTAAAAAGGACCTCGCTGGGAACGGGATGATAAGGGGCATCACTGTGTAAATAAATAGCTGAAAAGCAGAAGATCGGCTTCGGTGTGGTCCGCTTCCTCCATTAGGACAGATCCATAATTACACCCAGCTGTTTCACACAGCATCAGACAGAGAAGCAGACGGCGAGAACCACATCCCTTGGATTCACTAAAATACAAAAAAAGTGTAGAAATGTTGGGAATAAATTATACTAAATCCAAAAAATCTTTTTCTTTTTTTGGAGGAGTAGGATAGGAGCAATAGTCTGCTTCAATGCAGCAAGTTGGATTGAATACAATTTGTTACAGCTTTTAAATGGCAAAAGAAACCCCTAAAAAATGCTATTCCTCATGTTCTGCAAACACTCACTGTGACCATGTCTAATACTTCATGGGCGCTTTTAAGTCTAAAGATGATACTGTGACATAAACTAGCAAGGTTAATTTTGCTTAAGATATTCCGACCCTTTTCCCACCATAATAAAAAGCCCCGTGTGAATCAATTGTAACGGCCTGGGCCTCAAACTAACCACAACTGCTGTAAGGAAACTACAAACTTTTTACAGCCACCTTTAAAGCCTGAAGCAGGATGAGTATGTGATACCGATTTGGGCCAGATCATCAATTTCTCCCTGTAAGTGACATAATGTTGTCACAGTGGGGGCATTTTGGACCAACATATCAGATTACCAGACAAAGAAAAATGGAAGAAGCAAAAAAGCATCACGCTCCCGAAAATGTCTAAATCCCATGGCGTGAGTTGGTTGAGTGACGGAGAGGAAGGTCCCTTCTTTTGTGGCATCTACTGTTTCACATGAGAGTGTGGGTGTCACCCGGGGGAGAAGGCCGAGTGGGCGATGGGAAGATGAGTGCCCTCATGTTTTGGGTCTCTGAGAACAGCAGAGCTACTCACGCCATCTTCCTTAGTCGTCTCCTCCTCCTTCCCCTCGCCCGAGTGTGTGCTGCTGGTCATCACACCGGCCTCCACTCGTCCTTCTCGCTGAAAGTGAGACACGTTTATCAAAACATATCGGTTTACAATAAATCCTCAGCGAAACATTTCATCCTTTAGTCTCAAGTATGCCTCTCTAATTCCTATATCAGTACAAAAACAAGAGTGTCCATTTATAGACTGCACATTACTACGTCCATGACCAGATATGAGTTAATGCCAAAGATTCTTTTTGGACGGTTTCGAGAGACTTTGCATTGTGACTGGTGAAACGAATCAGCCGGACGAGGTGGGTTGAGGCAGTAGAGCACATCATCGATGTGCGATCAAGAGTCGTGCAAGCGATCTAACCTCTAGTATCCTGCGGGTGAGGCACGTGCCCTCGGTCTGCAGCCTGAAGAGGTTTTTGATCCCAAAGAGCTCCCCCTTGTGGGCGCCATGACCTTGCACCGCCTCAAAGTACCTCCGCGAACTCTCCCTGCCCACAACTGAGCATTGCAATTGCTGACGGATGGGACAGGCGCCACGGAAAAATTGCATTACTTACAGAGACACCGGCACAGTTATGAGTTTAGTTATCATCTCATCGGTGTGTGTGTGTGCGTGCTTATAATGACTTGGTACCTGTTTGTAAACTTGTCTGAGGTAAATAACCTCCTCCACAGTCCCCAATGAGATCAGCCGAAGAACAGTGACGTCTCTGCACTGGCCAATACGATACGCCCTAAGGAGAGACACAAACACAACCGCATCGTGCAAATAAATAACCGAATAATATGCTTTATAAAGTGGAGATATGGCCCACAACTTACCTGTCAATAGCTTGGAGGTCATTGGCTGGGTTCCATGTGGGGTCAAAGAGCACAACCACATTGGCGCCCACGAAATTAAGGCCAAGACCACCCGCCCTGAAGGAACAAAGAGCCAGTTATCTGCTGATTCTAGATACAACATAAGCAAATATGAGAACTGAGGAAATACTGCTCCAGTGATTGTTATTGTTTGACTGACATGGTGGAAACCAGGCAGAGGTTGACATGAGAGGAGCTGTTGAACGCTTTGACAATCTGGACTCTCTCTTTGGCTTTGGTGGCTCCGTCCAACCGGCTGTAGTCCAGCCCCTCTGCCATGCAGTAGCTCTCCAGCACATCCAACAGCTGACAGGGTCAAATCACAACGAACAATACAGAAAGGTTCAAAGCACACAAATCAACCACGCAAAACACTGACAGCTCTACATGCATCATGTGAATTCACTCATCGCCGAGGTCGAGGGTTTCCAAACACCAGGGAAGAAAATGTAGAGTAAAAATAAACAGAATATCCCCAGGCATAAGTATTTATAGATTAACTACACGGCTCTTGCACAATCAAAATTTTATGGGCTCTCGGATTACCAAAAAAGAAAAACATACGTTTAGAAAATATGACCTCACAGCAGCCACAAATGTTATCTTACTGTCTCAGGCGACAGTAACCATCAGACGCTGCAGAGTGTAATTATCTGTAAAACTCAAACTGCCCTAACTTATGAACTCAAAGGTTTCAGGAGAAAACTATGTCCTCCAGTCCTTTCCTGTCTCAATTGGGGCATCCATGGACGGCTTCGAATAATCTCCTTCTAACCCTTTTACCAATAGAGAAATGCAACTCTTCCATTGACGCAGAACCAATACATGTTGTCTCGAAAAGGTTGCACGATTTAACTGGTCTTACACAATATACAGTACATCTCCACAACCTCTCCTGCAAACACCAGGTGCCCACACAAACCAGCCCTCACCTTGGTTGAGAGTGAAAAAAGAAGCACTTTATCTCGCCTTTGCAGGTAATATTTCAGCAGCTTCTGCAAAACCTAAAAAGGAACGCAGATGTGTCAAACCCCACTGAAACAGCCAATGATGAGCAGGTGACTGAGCCTTTGTTCCAAAATCCATACCTTCATCTTTCCACTGTACATCGGGTCCGACAGAGCTTCGAATGCTTTGTCTTTGCATTTCTGCACAAAGTCTGGAAACTTCTGGAATACGTTTGCACAGATGGCACCAACGTACTTCTCCTGGGAGACACAAAGGAATTGTCACCGAAGGTATGACCTCAGTCAGGAAAAACGCTCCATGACAGATCTCGAATGAACCAGGATTTTAAATCAGTTGTAGGTAGCCACCTGTTTCTTGCTGACGCCTGCAGCGGATTGAAGCAGAGCGGCATGGTTTGCAACCTTCCTCAATATGGCCAAGTAACTGAAGTACAACCCCTTTATTTTCACACCTTCTGTGTTTGTCTGCAAGGAAAGACAGCATATTATTAGTGGGCTTAATCTTTCATTCTTTCAACCACATGATAGTTTTTATGGCAAGTTAAAAGGGTCAATTGAAAAACAGGTAAATGCTGCATTTTAAATTTCACCGCAGTACACTTCATCTACAAAGTAGAGTGAGATAGATCCAATACAGGGAATCTGAACCCACAACTATCTTCTTCACATATGGTGTCGATCACTTCACTCATGTCAGATATGTGGAAAACAATTCAATCCCTGCAAATTGAAGCCCCTTTCAATTCACAGCATGCAATTGGCACGCGGCGGTGAAAGCGTCGCACTCACTTTATAGCAGCAGCTTATGCGGCTACGTCCACTTTGACAGTCACATTTCTCTGAGGACCTCAGTATCAACGTCACATCGTCAGTGTCCAGCACGGTCCGATAGACAGTCTGCTGAAAATCCGTCAGAGAGCAATACACCACCTAGGAGAAAACAGAACAACACATAGATCTTTGAGTTTCCAATATCATAGAAAATAATCTGCATGTTATGACGATGGAATGTTTTAGACATGTAGACAGTGCTTTTGGGAGTTTTCAGAGAAGTATGGTTGAACTTGAACAATCTTACCCGGTCATCCTTCTTGGGCAGTTGTTCTCTGATGAGAGCTTTTGTCCTTCTGAGGAACAAGTGGGAAATGATCTTCACCAGGGCTCGGACAGCCTTCCTCCCGGTAGCTAAGGTACGTTTGGTTGCGCTGTGCCTCTGCCCTTGCTCAATCGGATCAGAGTACTTGTTCTTGAAATGGCCTAAGCTGCCCAGACAACCAGGTACGACCCTAAATAGAATACAAAGTACATTAAAGCTAAAAACTGCTTCCAGCAATCACATTCCTTCTTCAAAAGGGAAACAAAATGAATGAAATGTTATTTTAAGTATGCAAATTAAAAATATACTGTAATATAAACGTCTCTCTACCTACCAGTCCATGACACACCACAGCTCCTCGAGGTTGTTCTGTAAGACGGTGCCAGTGAGGCCAACTCTGATCTGATGAAAAGATATCTATGGTTTAGCAGCTCATCTTGACTGGGATACAATTCAATCTACTGCTAAGAGAACAGAGATGAGGACCGCTTGAGTAGACAGAGTCCAGTTAAACAACACAACCAAAAAACTGTCCTACCTTACACTTCAGATCCTTCATTGCCCGAGTGATCTGAGAGTTTGGATTTTTTATCTTGTGGGCCTCATCCACGACCACAGCAGACCAGTCTATGCTGCAAAAGAAAGGACAATGGTGTATAAAAAAAACAGAACAAATATTTAGCACATATTTAAGGAATACATTCAAAGTATACAGGAAGCATGTCATTTATTATGTTGAATATGTGTGTGTGTTGAGCATGGTTCCTACTTATTAAACTGATCCAGACAAAGGCGCAGAGTTTCGTAGGTGGTGAGAGCGATCTCGATGCGCCCCTTTTGGATGCGAGCCAGCTCCTCTTCTTTCCTCAGCCCGTGGACCACCACACACTGGAAGTGACCCCATGTCTCCAGCTCATCTTTCCAGTTATAAAGCACCGACAGCGGGGCCACAATGAGGAACACCTAGACCGGATCATGGATGTACCAACATTTTGAGGACGAAAAAGAAATACTGCCACTATCTGCTGCTGCATGCTTGAAACCCTGCGGTTTTAAAAGAACAACTTAATAAACAACGATACATGAAATGCCCGTTTGTAACTCGCTTATTTCAGTACCCACTTTGCTGGGTTTACTTTGCTTGGAGGGCATCTGACTCTGCAGAAACTGTGGCCTGTTGTTTTTGATGTCCTCCCATGTGCCCGTTTTGTGCAATACAGCAGCAAGGAAACCAATGACCTGAGAAAAGATCATAGAGGTGGGGAAATGGGCATGTGAGAAAAAGCATGACGACAATTTGGAAAATGTTTGTGCGGCTAATGTACTCTGTACCTGTACAGTTTTCCCCAGGCCCATGTCATCCCCCAGGATACAACCCCTGGAACAGATGTAATTGTTGTAAATGAACCTGATACCTTCTCTCTGGTAATCCCTCAGGTATCTGTTGATGGTGTAGGGGACTCTGTCTCCGTCAACGTCCCTTAGCTCTAAGGGGACACATAGCCTGGTGTCTGTGACGCTGCTGGGAAACAAAGGCTTCTCCTGGGTGAAGTGATTCACGCCCGGTCTCGTGAGTTTTGAGACCGGTACGGCTTTCTCCTCTTCTTTTTCCGGTGCATCTTTACCCGACTCGGTGAATACCACCCATGCTGTGGCATCGTTCTCATGAGAGGTGGAGGTCAGTCTCTTTATGGTAGATTCTCGGAGTGAGCCGTCTCTCGGGTGAGGAGCGAGACATGTGTCACCTTCACACCATGTTGCTATAAAGTGAGAAAGAAGGATTGTTAACAGTTGAGGCAACAGATCTTATACCATATACGTTACCAAAGGAACACTGATAGTTTGGATACACCTGGGGTGTCGAAAGAAATCTCTTGAAATAGCATATTTGAATGAAGGGCTTAAGGAGGTATGTTTCTGCCATTATATAATCTAGCATTACAGTAAACTATCAAACTGATGGCATTTTAGTTTATCCCATCAAAACACCGGTCTGTCCCATTGATCGAATCAGTCTAATGATTGTAGTAACTGTTGTTGTCCCTGGTGTAAATATGGCTAATTATTAGCAAGCAGCAGAGGCTTTAAGAGTTGTGTAAACCAGCATTTAAAACATGCATTTCAAACCCTTTTCACCAGCAGAAGATGAAGCCATCGGGATAGCGTCGCATTATGTGTCCTTCCTCCTCTTCGTCGTTTGGAGGAAAAGTCAATGTAGCATGCTTGCTAACGTTAGATGGATTAGCAGAATTTAGCTAACTTATTCCGCAAAGGAAAGGACGGCGAAAAATTAAGAACGAAACACAGGCTGTGTTGGTTTATTCTTTGTTAGCGTTTGAGAGGCCGACCATAAACTGTGAATAAAAGGGAGACAGACTCAGAAGGAACAGCTGCAGCACCACTGCCGCTTGCTGAATGTTTACCTTTTTTAACAACGAGTAACGCACTTTCGACGCATTTCCGCGATTTTAATTATGATTTAACGTTAAACCTTTACTCTAAAAAGGACAAAGGACACGTGTCATATATTTAGTCTTTAATATCCATGTCATTCTTATTTTTAATTAATTATTCTTATTTTTTTTAAACTTGTTTGATGTTGTGTTGAAAGTGCTGGATAGAATCAGAAGTTGATTCACTGAAAACGACAGTTGCAGTAAAATCTGAGGAGAACCGAGTAGCCAATTTAGATTATTCCTACATATACGAACATTACAAATAAAAATTAAACGTGGATATATATCTTCTGCTCAAGTAGCTACTTGAAATGTGTATGCTGCAAAATCCCAATCTGCAAGTATGTATAACATGCACCTACATGAAAAATGTAAAATGTTATCCTATATGCATTTGTCTGGAACAATACTATTAACATGTTTGTATGTTGTATTTTTCTTTCAAACCTTAAATGGGTTTTATTATTTTAAATAGTTCTATTTAATCAACATAGTCGTATTTAATGCCTTACTGTTGCATTGCCGAGTGGCTATAATCAGGAATCAGGAATCAGGAAACATTTATTGCCAAAATATGTCAAACATACAAGGAATTTGTCTTGGCGGTTGGTGCGTGACAGTAGACAACAAGACAGCAGTGCACGAGTAATAAAATAAAGTAAAATGAAATGCTAATGCAATGGGTTAGTAAAAAAAAGAATAAGGCTATGGGTTAGTATAAAACAAGGGAATAAAGTTAAAGTTAAAAATGTAAAATATTAAAAAAAGTTAAAAAATATTAAGCATAAAGTGCACTAGCGAACAAGTAACAAAGTGACGAATGACGACAAAGTGATAATTTACTGTTAAAGTGACATGTGCAGTGTGAAGGGGAGTGACCGGTGGAATATTATTGTCAGTCAGAAGGGAACCGGGCTCTGTTGATGAGCCCGACTGCCGACGGGAAGAAACTGTTGGTGTGGCGGGAGGTCTTAGTACTGATGGACCTCAGCCTCCTGCCAGATGGAAGGGGCACAAACAGTTTTTGTCCGGGGTGAGTGGGGTCGGCCACGATCTTTTTAGCATAGTTTTGTCACAAAGATTTAATTGACCATGTTTCCAGGAACAGTATTTTGCATTACCTAGTATTGATATCATATAGGCTTACCAACATCACCTTGACAGCATCTTCCTATCAACCAATATTCCAATGCGGGCGAGAGAATATGGCAGAAAGTGCCAAAAGTGCCAGAAAGCGAGAAAGACCAGTGAGAAAGACTTTTTAGAAAGATTTTGTGGTTTGAATAAATACAAAAGCAAGGGGTTAATATGCGTTTATCTGTCCTTTGGGGCGAACATGATGGCCATCAGTAACTGTAAGCTTGTCTGTTGCTGTGCAGAAGAGTCAGTGTAAACACACAGAAACACGTCTCAGTTCTCCATCCCCGATTTGACTTTCCCTAAACGTTGGCTGTGGCTCTGCAGATGAGGCACAACCGAGTCTGCTTCTCGCCATGGTACACTGCCATACAAAAATGTAATTTTTTGTTCCTGTTTTCTCAACACTGAGAATTTATAGGGCAGCTGCCGCAGATGTTCTCATAAAGAAAGCCCAAACACTGATGTCAAACGGTTTACATACTGCATTGGATCTCACACACACTCACACACTCTCAATGAACCACAAGGGCCTTTTTCTGGCCTCATTTACGATAATACATTACTGCTCAAGCAGATAGCGTTAGGATGAATAGATCATTGGCCGCAGATAAGAAGTTCTCGACAAAAGCAATTTCTCACAGATGAATAGTTGAATATGTTGAGTGGGTTTATTTTCCAGAATTAAGTTATTTGATGTCCTGTTCCGTATATATACATGTATATATATTTACTTTCCCGTTTCACATACACGTTAAGGTCACTATGACCAGATTCACGTCATCTTTGTACCTTGACATAGAAAAAGGTTTTGTGTGGAAAGAAGTAACTCCACAGTGGGAAAGTAAAAATCTTGCATTCAAAAGTGTCTTGAAGTGAAAGTACAGAAGTATAGTCAGCTAAATGCACTAAAAGTATTAAATTAAAAGTACTCAGAAGGCAGAGTGTTGTTATTATTTGTTCGTAATCATATTTTGATTTATAATGGTATGGTGTTTATATGGTAAGAGTGCAATATACTTCATTTGTAATACGGTGTATTATGACTGTAAAGATATATGAAACAGAAGAAAAACTCAAGTAAAATACAACTATTTGATGTTAAGCACCCTTCATAAGCTATGTCATCTTTGTGGTATTTGGAGATGCTTCTCTTGTTAGGGTAAATTTCCTCATTTTATTTATCATCTTTACAATCTTAAAGGGCAGTTTAAGCAAACTTATTTATCTGGACAGGCTGTTTCCTGCTTTATTTTTTATGTGATAAATTTGGCTGAATCAAAGTTTGAATTGAATAAAACACAGTGTTTGTCAAACGTCTGTTGTTGGTCCTAATCAGTGGTTGGAGAGGAAGGCCTGAATGGAGGACTTGTACAGCCCTCAGGAGCTTGGGAAATACTCCATCTGTGTTCCGCCAAATCTCTCTCATGAGTCAGAAGGTCTACGGGCCAAAAGCAGTTACCACCATGCCAAAAATGACAGTTTCAGCTTCATTCGCATTGATTGCAGAGATGGAAAATTAGGTTGATAACTCGTGCTTTTCTTTTCTTTCTTTTTTTTTTTCATTTGTCTTCACTCGCTTGCTTTCCTATTCAATTCAATAATTAATTCAGGGTGTTAGTGTGTCACCACTTAAATAAACTGAAAACACTTGGATTTATTTGACGTAACATGTCTAAGATCATCATATCCCGCATGGGTTTTAATAAAAAGGGCTGAATGAGATTGGTCATGATGTTTTGGCTACTTTTTCGCTTGACACCTAACTTGACTACAGCAGTTAGGATATTGTTGTATCAAAAACAGTTGCGTTTTGATCAAATGTTATGATCTGTTAATTAGGTTCAATGGAAACATGTGTCCATTCAACAAAGCTGGACACAATAGAAAAACTGAAATTATTTATATTAGTTCTTCAAAAATTTGAATCTCTTCCAAACATCTTTGAGCAAGTTTATTTTTTTCTCACCCCACACTTCCTACTTTCATAGACTCTTTCCTGTCTCTATTTCTGAGGTATTCAGTTACACAAGAGGCCTAATTACATGAAAACCTCCGAGCATGAAATCACCCCCTATGTCGCAGAGCTCTGAAGTACGAGCGATGAAATGGGGGCTCAGAGAGAAGCCACTAGCTGGCTCTTCTTCTCGGCCACTTGTTACTACATCGCCTGTGCTCGGGGGGGGGATCCTGCCTCTGTCCATCATTTCGGGGGCCAATGACAGCGACGATGTCTCAACTAATTCCTCTCAGTGAGTCGACAAACAACGTAGAGGCCTCCGATGACCCGAATTTGATGGCTTGTTCCTTTTGTCCTGCAGTGGAATGGAAAACTCTGTTGAGCAACATATTTACAGTCAAACCGACCCTCATTACATTGCAGCCCCGTAGAGGAGCCTTTTGTTCCTCTACTTTGGCCGCATGAAATACACCAACCATTCCCGTGCACGCGTTTGCATGTGTCTGTAGGACAGGCGCATCCTTGTAGTTGTGTGTCCTCCACAGGGGCTTCAAACAGCTGATTAAAGCGCCTGACAGCGAGTGTGGCACACATTTAACTGGAAGAAGGAACCGCTTGTGATTTTACTCCATTCTGGTCACAGCCGCCCTCCTCCTGCCAGGCATGGCGGACGGGCACAAAGTGCTTGGTCTAGGAATGAAATATCTGGCCGCCAGACAGCATTTCCCCCTATTCTACCGAACCTCCCCTAACCAAACAGGAACACCGACAGGGACTCAAAGAGCTGCATGACTGCACGTCCCAACAATGAGGCCACACAAAGCACCAACTCAGCAGAATTGGACGTCCATTTCTCAGGCGTTTAAGCATGCAATTATGTTCCCCTCCTCTCCCCACTTCACAATCACGAATGAGGGAGTACAACGTGGTGTCTGTAGTGGTTCACTTCCTACAGGGGAGATGTGGAGACAAGGGCACATTGCTGTCTTGATTGGGAAGATTTTTGTATGCCGAAGTTGTTGCGTGTGGTGAGAGATAAATGTTTAATGTGTGAGATTGCGATACGTTTGTGTGGTTGTGAGATTACATTTCAACTTTGACCATAGGTGTCTTCGCTTCAAGAGAAATCCCATAAAATAGCTTGATGATGGTCTCGATTATGATGATTCAGAATTCATAAAAACAAAAGTACCACTGGCTTTGTGTGTGTAAGCCCTCTTACTTGTGTACGTGTGTGTGTTTGCCTACGTTTTTCAGTGTTTTATGGGATGTTACTCAGAGGGGAGCAGTCCTGCTGAGGGCTCTTCCATGCGTCCATGCATGTAGCGCACGCCATATGGGGTCCAGAGGGCCGAGCCATGCGCATGGACCATTTAGCACACGTTGCTTTCCCCTTCGTGGCTGCAGTGCACTCCCCATAATACATCAGCCAGGGCTGGAAACCTTCACAGTGAATCACGAAGAAGGGCTCCACGAGGCACAGAGTATATATCTTGGAGGATGTACAAATCTGTATTCATTGTCACATTTTCCCATTTTTTGTCATTTCTTTAAGACTGAGGGCTTTCATCGATCTAAATCAGTGGTTCTGCAGTGAGGGGTGAGCACTGTCAAAGTCTATTATGATAAACAACCGTAAAACCAGTTCAAAAATATATTGCTTCTGAATACTCTGCGTAGTTATGTGTCCTTTTATTCCATATATTTTGCTGGAAACACTGATGTTACCATTTGCTTCTATGCTATGGGTTGCTATGTTGCTATGTTGGAAACCTTGAGGTGCAACGGCTCCTCGCAGTGTTGACGTCACAACGGCATTTGGCACATCAAATTCATATAGCGTGAGTCAGAAGTACACATATTTCATGTAA